CAGTTGTTCCTGTTCCAGCAAAGAAAACATCCTGAAAAGAGATTCACAATTTGATTAGAAGGATAAATCATGTGATCAGTGCCTTTTGTGTATCAAATTGCAAATTATGTAACATTTATATGATAAAGTGCAAATACATTGGACTAACCTTAATAACAGCTTTAATGTTGCCAAGAGATAAGGAAATCTCAAAGTCATTGTCCTTTTGAATCTTGAGAAGAACATCAACTAGATCATCCTCCACATCTCCAAAATTATTACCTGTTTTCTTTTATTTATGGTCTCTGATAATGTCATCAAACACTCTATCACCATCTCTATGCAACTTCATAACTTTAGCTCTCATCCCAGTGATGATACTGATAAATTTCAGTGAAGGACAGAAATCAGAAATCGATAATCCAGAGCCAATCTTTATTGATTGTTCCATAGTTTGCAGGAGATGTTCTATGTTCTTTGTCTTTTTGCCACAAGCTGCTCTTGCAACTACATAATTCACGCATATGAAGGTTTTTCTGCTAAGATTAATGACAGAACCTTCATGTTCTTCAGAGATATTCCTCACAAGTGCTTAAGCCTCCTCGTCTTATTTTTCTGAATGATTGGACCCTTTTCTTGGAGAAAAGTTCCAAAATACAAATCTTTCTAAGTTGTCTCCAGTAGTTTCCACATGGGGAAAAGATAATGTCTGTGGCATTGTAGTACAAGACATGAGAGGGAAGATTTGTGGGTCTGTTTGCAAAGATCTGATCATGAGTCTTCATTATCTCTTTGGCATATTCTGGTGAAGATACCATGATATGAGAAAGCTGACCAAGTTGAAGGTGGATGAATGATCCATATTTGTTTGCAAGATTTAACCCGCAGAACAAGTCAGGCCTGACTGTGAGGTAAATATAAAAAAGGAGATGTCGGCCATCTGGGCATCGAAGAACGAGGCGACATTTTGTGCATCAAATATTTTTTATTTTTATTTTTTAAAAATTCAGATACAAGGGCTCCCACTTAATATAAAATATATTGTAATGTAATATGAATTAAACCAATTATAGAATTTTCTTTGGGTTTTTTTTCTAGATGTAGTTTTTATTATAAGACTAAACCGAAAAAACAGCCTAATATTTATTATATTTTGCATTAAAATCTGTTTATTATATTTGTCAATGATACACTGTTATATATTAATCATAAACTTCTTGTAAATTTTTCAATTTTTAATAATAAATTTTTTATATATTAATGTAAACTGGCCATACTCTCAAATTTTTACAAATTTGATCTATATTTTTTAGACATAAGATTTTTTTTCGGCTAGTGAACCCATTTATCCTATTTCTTTAATAAATATGTCCAATTATAAATTATAAAGGCCATGTTTATTTTTGCTTATTATATATCTCATTAATTATTTTGACTTCCAAAACACAAGGTTATAACTTTTATATTATATATTGACAGATTTGATAGTTTTAATAATTTATTTTATTATTTTTAAACTCCTGCATATGGTGGCTCTTCTTTTTTAGGGTGTTTTTGGACGAGTGATGATTTTAAGGATTTAAATTCTATGGAGTTGATTGCAAATTGAATATATATATATATGTATATAATTAGAATAAATATTAAGAACATAATTTAAATAATAATGAAAAACAAGTAGTTCGCACAATTTTAACCTCCTACATAAAACATATTTCGGTGATAAATATATGCATATAACCTAATTAAGGGGAATAACCAATAGGAATTACACTTAGGTCGTTTTTCCTTCTTACTGCAGAACCAAAAGTCTCATCCAAATCCAAATCCTCAGGTTTCATTCCTTCTGGAAGTTGCCAATCAAAATGGTAAAGCAAATTGGAAAGTAACAATTCTAAAACAGGTGTGGCAAATGTAATTCCAGGGCAAATTCTTCTTCCAGAACCAAATGGAATGTACTCCAAGTTTAAACCTTTGAAGTTGTAATCAACTGTTGTATCAATAAATCTTTTTGGTTCAAATCTTTCTGGTTCATACCAATTCTTGGGGTCTCTTCCAATGGCCCAAGCATTAATTATAATCTTTGTCTTCAGAGGTATATGATATCCATTGATTTCGCAACACTTGCTGTTCTCTCTTGGAACCAACAATGGCACTGGTGGATATAGCCTTAGGGTTTCTTTAATCACAGCACCTATGTATGTTAATCGGTGAAGTTCTGATTCATCTACATAACCTGTGCCTCCATAGACTCTTCTTACCTAAAGTAAAGGAAATAGATAATTCTCATAAATGAACTCAATAATCTCAAATTTATAAATCAATAGGAAAAACATAACTATTGTTCCATATATTTTAATTGTATTTTATTATTGATCCTTGTACTTGTTTTTTTCTATTTGCAATGTTAGTTCTTTTTCTTTTTAAATATGTCCAAAGAGATAATGCAGTGACACTAACGGTGCTAAATTAGGATATTTGATGCATATGAAAAAAGGCTTAACCCACACTAACTTGAAAATTACTTTTCAATGGTAACAAGCACTATTGCCAGAATAGTTTTAGTCACAAAGTAATTGTCCCCTTTTTACATATTGTTGATTCAAATTGCCAACTCATTATATTTTAAACATGCTAGCATCTTTATTAACATTGATAGTTACATTTTAGATAATTTAATATTGTTATTAGGGCTGCATCATTATTTTTTTAGGCATATTTAAAAATAGATGGATTAATGTAGATAGGAAAAACTAGAGGGACTTGGAACATAAAAAAAAAGAGCACAAGATTGACGACAAAATATGATAAACTATAGGGATCAATAATTATGTTTTTTCTTAAATGAATAATATAATATGCACACGTATACAACCTACAAAATTATAATATGATATTTGAAATTCAAATTGTGCCCATACCTCTTGTTGTGCCTCTTTCATAACCTCTGGGTTTTTGAGCAATTCTGACATCGCAAACTCTATCGTAGATCCTGCTGTTTCAGTTCCACCAAAGAAAACGTCCTAAAAAGGGATTCACATGAGGGATGTGCATATACATGGGCTTGTGTTAGAGTTTGTCAAATATTACAAATTATATGTGATATACATATATTTGGAAAAACTTTCGTTTATATGACAAAGTGAGCATGGACTAACCAGAAGAACAGCTTTAATGTTGTCTAGAGATAAGGGGATCTCAAAGTCATTGTTCGTTTGAATCTTGAGAAGAACATCAACCAGATCCTCTTCTAGATCTCCAATGTTATTTCCTTTCTTTTCTTTGTGGTCTCTGATGATGTCTTCAAACACTTTGTCACTGTCTTTGTGCGCCTTCATAGTTCGAGCTCTCATCCCAGTGATGACACTAATAAATTTCAGTGAAGGATAAAAATCAGAAATTGCCAACCCAGAACTTATCTTTTGTGCTTGCTCTATAATTTGCAGGATTTGTTCTACGTTCTTTGTCTTCTTGCCAAGGGCTGCTCTTGCGACGACAGAGTTCGTGAGTTCAAAGATTTTTCGACTGAGGTTAATGATAGAACCTTCATGTTCAAAGATGTTCCTCACAAGTGCTGAAACCTCTTCTTCCCTAATCCTTCTGAATGATTGAACCCTCTTTGCTGAGAAAAGCTCTAAAAGTACAAATCTTTCGAAGTTGCCTCCAATAGTTTCCATATGGGGAAAACACGATGTCTGTGCTATTGTAACACAAGAGATCAGAAGCAAGAATTCTGGGTCTGTTAGCAAAGATCTGATCATGTGTCTGCATTATTTCTTTGGCACAATCTGGTGAAGACACTATGATGTGAGAAAGCTGGCCAAGTTGAAGGTGGATGAATGGTCCATACTTGTTCGCAAGATTTGCCAGAGAACGATGAGGTAGAGATCCAACAAGTTGGTGTAGGTTTCCTATGAGAGGTAATTTCCATGGCCCTGGTGGTAGGGTTTTGATGGGTTTCTTGGAAAAGTAGAGCTTTTGGATCACAACGAGGAAGCAGAAGATAGTGAAGATGACGGGATATGGGATCTGTATCTCCATGATCAGGCATATATCTCCATGGTAAAGTTTATGCCCTTAAAATTTATAACACAACTTGATGTTTTAAAATCAGCACCTGAGCTGTGGGTTGTATTTTATACTAACACAAGATCGACTTTATGATTTCTCCATTTTGTTTTAACGAGTCTTTTGGCTGGATATGCCATGTTTTCAAACAAGGTTTCTTAATTTCATATTATAATATTTTTACAATGTAAAATTCCACAAAAGTCTCTATCCTCTTACGTTTTGTGTTTCAAATATAATAAAAGTACCAATCAGGTTTAGTCGGTGGAATAAAAAGCCGCCAAGTGTTTTAGAAAATGGAAGAATGATATTTAGATCCTAAAACTTCAAATTAATGACAGCATGATCCCAATTTTGTGGATAGATCAGACGCAAATAATGATTTAAATAACTATGAGAGCCTCAGTTGTAAAACTATGAGACTAAACTGTGATATATAGTTAATTCATGATTTGTAAAATTGTGACATTTGTATTTTTGATTATCTCAATTAATGTTTACAATTTATCTCTTAACAAAATTATTGTAGAGCAAGTACTCACATAATTCTCTCCTCTTACAATCAACCTTATTTTACTTAACTTTCCAAACAACCAAATCTTTGATTAACTTTTTCCCCTAAAAGAATATTGGCTTGTTTGTTTTGTATTTTTTTTCAAGATAGACTCAGCAATAAATGGATAAAACAATTTAATAAATTTAAAAAAATCACATAATTTTTTTTAATAAGCATATCCAAATGATACGTGAATAAATACAATTTTTTTGGCCAGATAATAAATACAACATAAATATTTATTGAAGTTTTTTGTGGGTAATGAATATTGATTAAAGTTTGACGATAAGGCTAAGGATTAAAGGAGTAAAACTGAAATTCGGGCCCCCAAAGTAAAACTGAAAAGGCCTTTCATTCTCCGCTATAAGCCTATTAGATAGGTTGGGGCTTCAAGGAATCAAAGGCAGTCCCGACCCATCCGGGTCCGAAAGAAGAATACACAGTGCATAAATCAAAAACCCTAGAATTGTTAATTTAGATTTATCGGTGAGATATAAAGACGGTGGTCGGAGTCGATTTCATCGTGTACGCTGGAGAAATGTCTGTAAGTCGGAGATTGTGTGTGTTTAGTGGGCGATCACGGAATCCCGGTGAGGAAAATTTTAGTAATCAGAAGAAGGGGCATGCGAAAGCAATGGGAAAATGGTGGTGCTCCCTCTTTAGCTGCAGAGGTTGAGGAACCAACCAAACCCTTCCTCATGCCTCCCACAGTAATTGTAGATACTTGGCTTTCTGAGGGATCCTTCTTCTTCTTTCACCGTTTTCTCCTATTTTCTCACCTCGTAGATTCTCTACTCAATCATCTCCGGCGTGGTTCATGAGTTTTAATTTTTATGATTTGTTAATACCAACTAGATTGGACAGAACGAACGATGCAATTTGTTAACAGATTTATTAATACATACATACGTACATATATAAACAAACTCGAAAAAAACGTTATTTTGTACAGTTTATGATCATAGGCCTTTTTTTCCCCCCCAACTCTCTTGAAAGTCGCAAAAGATCGCAAAGAATGTATTGCTGCAGCATGTTGAAAAACCTTTTCTTTCTTGACTGTCTCTATGAGTTATATAATGACATAATGCAAACACTCTGTTTCGTGTTGCTTTGAATCTTTTGATCTGCATGCAAGGGATGCATATTTTCTCTGCTGCTGCGACTGAGATGACATGTTCCTATTGGAAAAGATAACAAGAAGATGATTCAATCCCTTAAAACAAAGACAGCTTTGAGAGTGGAGAGCCCCAATTTATTAGATCATTACTGTGATCTTTTAATCTCAAGTGTTGAATCCTTCTGTTCCACATTAATTTCCACGACAAATAGTTGTATGGAATTCTACACACTACGGTTTTTTTTGTATCGTTGATTAATATCACATGAATGATTGAATCCATGGATCAATTTGTGTAATTTTTCATTTCATCTTTGATGTTGTGATTGGTTTACAAATTAATTTCTTTGATAATCAGAGATCTGGGGGCAAGAAGGGTGCTTGCCCCCTTGTAAGCTCGTAAAAATTTTAAAAATAGATTTTCGCCTCCCATTCAATGATTTATTTTCAATCCCCCCCCCCCCCCAGAAAAAAAAAAAAAAATTTCGTTAGCTTCTAGATTCGTCCCTGCAATAGAAATAACTGAGGTAATGAATGAAAAGAAGCTCTTCCCTGTGTTCCTCTACGTAGCTACAATAGCAATACTACTTGGAGATTGATTTCATTTTGATGTTGCCAATCTCTTTACAGAGTCCCTGATCACCTCTGGCTTTTTTACTGCCGAAAGTCACAGGGCACGTTCCCTGACGAAATTGATGAGTCAAGATCAACAAGTTCAAGTTGGGAATATAAGAAAACCAGAGAGTGGAATTCTACTATCATGAATAATATATATATATATATATATATATACATATACACATATATCTATATTAATTTTCAACAACTTGCATAACTTCCTCGAAAGTCATATAAAATCACTTTTAACTCAATCTCAAAGGTAGTAGTTTTGTTTTACGTAAACTGGAACCGCTGCAGCTTCTTTTACGTAATTTTGTTTTTCCTCAGAGACATAGAATGGAGCCGTGTTTAAGTTGGTAGGTTTTTTTAATTATATTATATTATATTACATATAAATCGTGGTCATTGTTGTTCATTACATCTCTTATCAGTGTCAATATCAATATAAAATTTGAATTGGGAAAGAATTTCGTATAGAGAGCAACCTCCATGATGTTGCGATTCGGTTTTATATATCATAAAAGGAAACCGCTGTAGCTTTTTTAAAAAGTCCAAGTTGCTCTTTGATCAAATTAAAAATTGCAAGCTGTAAGATGCTTTTGTACATGTAAGTGGCCTTCTTTTATTATTTATGCAGGCTGGCAGTTTGCAACGACACATCAACCCCGCAAACTAGGAGTCAACACTTTCTCTCACCCACTAGAAAGATGGACGCCATCGCCCTGAAAGTTCTTCAGGGATTGACCTCTTTGGCTCTTGAAGAGTTCAAATTACTGTGGAATGTTAAACATGATGTAGAAAGGATGAAGAACACGATCCTTGCAATCAGAGCTACACTGTTGGATGCAGAGGCGAAGGTCAACAACCATCAACTGAGCTTTTGGCTGGAGAGACTCAAGGATGTACTCGATGATGCAGATGACCTGCTTGATGATTTATCCACTGAAGCTATGAGGAGGGGAATCATCACTCAAAACAAGGTGGCAAAGAAGGTACGGATATTCTCCAAATCAAACTAAGTTGTTTATAATCTAAAGATGGCTCATAAAATGAGGGAAATCAGGGGATGGTTAGATGAAATTGATGATGAGAGGAAAAAATTCCAATTGACTGATCATCCTCTTAAGCCCCTATCTATACATGAAGAACGGAAACAAACATGGTCGTTTGTGCAAGAGGAAGAAATTGTTGGGAGAGAGGAGGAAAAAAATCTCGTTTTACATTATTTGTTAGACAGCAATATGGAATGTAGTGTTTCAATTATTCCCATCGTTGGATTTGGTGGGTTAGGCAAGACTGCACTTGCTCAACTTACGTACAACCACGAGGACGTTCAAACTTATTTTGAGCTTAAAAGGTGGGTGTGTGTGTCTGATGAATTCGACGAGAGACAAATCGCTCAAAAGATTTTAAGACAAGATAAAATAGGAGAGATGGAGCAAGTGCAACAGACTTTAGGCAATTAATTGACGGGAAGAGATTTTTGATGGTGTTAGATGATATGTGGAATGAAAATGTTGAGCTTTGGCATAAGCTGAAAAGCTTACTTGTCAAGGGCGCAGAGGGGAGCAAGATAATTGTTACCACACGTAGTGAGAAGGTGGGAAAGATGATAGGAACCTATCCTCCTATTATCCTTAAAGGTCTGGATTGTGCAAGATCATGGGAATTGTTTTGTAGAATGGCTTTTGAAGGGGGCAAAGAATCAAATGATAAGGATTTGTTGGCAGTTGGAAGGGAGATTGTCCAAAAATGTGCAGGAGTTCCTCTTGCTATTAGAATTGTTGGAAGGCTTGTGTATGATAAGACCTTAGAAGGAATAGATTTGTCATACTTGTGGAATTGTGAGCTTTGGAACATAGATCAATTGGAGGAGAGAATATTTGCAGTGCTTAAACTCTCTTATGATCATCTTCCTTCTCCCATGAAGAATTGTGTTGCTTTTTGTTCATTGTTTCCAAAAGATTTTTCATTGAGGAAGCAAACACTAATTCAAATGTGGGTGGCCAAAGGATTCATTCAGTCATCTGATGAGATGAGGTGTGAGGAAGATGTTGGGCATGAATACTTTATGAATCTACTTTCTAGGTCCTTCTTCCAAGATGTGGAAAGAAAATCATGGCGATATAGTGACATGCAAAATGCATGACCTTATACATGATTTAGCACAATTTGTAGCAAAGCACGAGTATCTTGTCATTAGAGAAGGAAAAGAAGAGAGTCATAAGGACACAACACGTCATTTGTCTTATGATGTGCCAAGGGAAATTGGGAAGTTTCAACTTCATTCCTTAAGTTTGAAAAATTAAGAACAATGCTCTTGGCCAATACTTGTTTCTTTTATTCGATGGATCACTCTACTTTTGACTTGGTTGCATCAAAATTGAAGTTCTTACGTGTTCTGGACTTACATGGCTCAAATATTACCAAAATTCCCAGAAGCATAGGAAACTTGAAGCATTTAAGATTTCTCGATCTTTCATTTAATCAAATAGGGAAAATTCCAAAGGCTATCACCAGACTCCACAACTTGCACCTTAAACCTCTCCTAAGTTGTTCTAGGGAATGCCTAGAGACATCAGTAAACTGGTAAGCTTGAGGTATCTTCGGCTTAGTGATCATTGCTGCTTGGAATGGATGCCACGTGGGATAGGGCAATTAACTTCTCTCCTAACATTGACACGTTTTGCAGTAGATGATCAGAAGATGCGTGGAAAAAGGCGTAGTGCAAGGATAAGTGAACTGGGTGGTCTAAACAACTTGAGAGGAAGTTTAGAAATCAGAGGCTTGCAAAACCTAAGACCAAACCCTAAAGAGGCGGAGTCTGTAAAATTGAAAGAGAAGCAACATCTTCAACAGTTATCATTGGTTTGGCTCTCTGATAAATCCCCTAAAGTTGCTTTTGAAGATTAATTGACTTTAGAAAGGCTACATCCACATCATACCATAAAACGTCTAGCTATACAAGGATTTTGTGGAGAGAAGTTACCAGGTTGGATTGGAAATCTCTTGTCACTGCAACACATTGAACTCTATGACTGCAAGTCTTTGACATCATTTCCTGAAGGCCTTCGTAATCTCATATCATTACAAACATTGGACATAATCGAATGCCCATTGCTAGATGAAACATGTCAAGATAAAAGTGGGGCTGAGTGGCAAAAAATTGCTCATATCCCATCGATTTTATTTACTAGTGATATTAACCTTGTTTTTAACTCCTGCATGTCGATAGAATAATTTTGGTGCTTGGAGGGTTAGATTTGATAATGTTGTGGAGAATCTCTTTCATGAGTTAATCTCTTTCCATTGTAGCTTGTTATTTAACATTCACCAGTCACTTGCTTATTGGTAGCTTAATGCGGACATCTTGAGTGTGAACAATGTTTTACAGAATAATTTATGTTCC